TGTATATATATATATATATGTATATATATGGGTACAGCTTGCATTTGACATGCCCCAGGTGACGATATCTGCGCCCAGAATCTTCCTATTCTCTTGTAACGTCGCGGAATAACTGCGTATGTGCCATTTTTAACGAGTCTTTGGATTAGATTCATGTACCTCAGGGACCGGAAATACATCACCAATCAGACAACGTTTTTTGAAACAAACAACGTAACTCATCATTACCTATAAAATATTTATCCTACACAACTAAAAAAATATATGCATATATTTCGAAATATTTTGTTTTATATTTCATTTTTATTAAAAAAATGTTAAGTCTTCAATGTAAAATGGTGAGTACTTCCAGCCAGTGGGCGCCACCCTTGCGCCCTCTACTGGCCGGCCGCCTTAATCATCATATTGATTTATTCTGTCTGACAGACACCTGGCTACAACAGGAGGATTTTGTTAGTATAAATTAATCCACTCCTGTTAATTATTTAAATTTTTATGTTCCTAGAACAACTGGCCAAGGTGGAGGAGTAGCTTCTATTTTTCAGTCAGGATAATTGATTAATGCCAAACCAGTTATTAGTTATGATTTTTTGAATCGCTTTCCCTCAGTCTTTCTCATCTAAAATGGAAATCAGAAAAGCCGCTTTTACTAGTTGCTATATATCGTCCACCAAGCTCTTACTCTCAGTTTTTGTCTGAATTCTCAGAATTCTTAACTAACTTAATACTAAATACTGATAAAGTCATAATAATGGGGGGCTTTCAATATTCATGTAGACGTTGAAAGTGATAACTTAAGAATAGCCTTTAATAATTTAGTAGTCATTTGGTTTTACCCAAAACGTCGGCACATCTACTCGTTCTTTTTGTGGGGTTTTGGTCCTGTCTCTGTCTGTTTCCTCATGTTTCTAGCTCTCAGTGTTTTCCCTCCTTGTGCTCAGCCCCTGTCTCACCTGTGGCATGTTAATCACTGCAGGTGTCTGTTATTTGTTCCAATCAGTGTGTGTATATATTCAGTTTCTCTGTATCTTGTCTTGATCTCAGGATTGTCCTCATGGTGTGTTCTGCCCTGTCCTGTGACCTGGTTAATAGTGAGTATGCTGCCCCGTCAGCTTTTGTTTTTTGTTTTTGTAAAAATAAATATTTTTGATTTTTTTCATAGAGCTTCCTGTCATCCTCCTGCACTTGGGTTCAACATCAATACGGCAGAATACAACAGAATCCCGAGACCCATTCTGAACCCAGCAAGAGGATGATAACCTTGTTTGAGTTTTTGGCCCGTGAGGCAGATAATAGTACTCAACGATACAGAGAAAAGGAGGAGAGGAGGAAGAATCCGTTTTGGGGGACCTTCCTGGCCGTTAAATTTGGGTCCTCAGCCTCACAGCCTCTCCATCCCTCTCTGCCTCGCCTAACCGCTGCACCCCGCTGCTCACCTCCTCCTCGCTCTTCACATGGCTGTCTCAAACAATCGTCGGAGAGGGGGGGGGGGGCGAACCGCTGGTCCTCCCCGAACCCAGCGCAAGAAGGGGAGAGCCTCACGAGCAGAGGAAATGCCCAGCTCTCATTCACCGGAGGAACGGTGGAAAATTTTGTTGGGGGTAGGTACCTGTGTCCACCAGAGGAGCAGTCCAGCCCTCCTTCGCTGGAGGAGCTAGAACAGTGGCAGGCTTCTATTGTGAAAATATATCTGGACCTGCTTCTGCCCTGCCGCGAGGTGACTCAGGTGGACGTTCCTTAGTCCAGTCTTCCAGAGGGCTTCAAGGCTCCATCTCCTGTGGCATCCCCAGTCCCACCACCTGCTATAGTTTCAGCCCCATCGCCTGCTGCAGCTCTAGCTCCTACACCTGCTGCAGCTCTGGCTCCTACACCAGCTGCAGCCCTGACCTCATCTTGTCCAGCTGCAGCCCAAACCCCATCTCCTCCAGCTGCAGCCCTGACCCCATCTCCTCCAGCTGCAGCCTAGACCCTATCTCCTACTGCAGCTCTGCCCCTGGTTCCCTTGTTGCAGCTCGGCCACCTGGTTCTCCTGCTGCAGCCCCAGTCCCTGGTTCTCCTGTTGCAGCCCCTGGTTCTCCAGCTGCAGCCCTGTCTCCGGTCCCTGGTTCTCCAGCTGCAGCCCCGGTCCTTGGTTCCCCAGCTACAGCCCTGGTCCATGGTTCCCCAGCTGCAACCCCAGTCCCTGGTTCTTCAGCTGCAGTCCTGTCTTCTCCACCTGCTGCTGCAGCCCAGATTCCACTGCCTGCTGCTGCAGATCTGACTCTACCACCTGCTACAGATCTGGACCCGGGCTCATCTGCGGTCCTTGCTCCTGGTCTGCCCGAGGTCCTCGCTCCTGTTACTAGAACCACCTTCTTTCACCTGTGTAATATCGCTAAAATTAGAAACATCTTATCTCAAACTGATGAAGAAAAACTGGTTCATGCAATTGTCACATCTAGACAGGACTATTGCAATGGTTTATTATCTGGGTGTCCAAATACTACTTTAAAATGTCTTCAGTTGATCCAAAATGCTGCTGCCAGAGT